AACGTGTTTGTCATATATTGACTGAAGAATTAGGCATGCGTAAGTTAACCGCGCGTTGGGTGCCGCGCTTGCCCACTCTGGATCAAAAACGCATTCGAATGAACATTTCTAAGGTCCTGTTGGAGCGGTTTAAGCGAAACGAGTCGGATTTTTTGCGTCGATTAATAACGGTTGATGAAACTTGGGTCCACCACTTCACTCCTGAAACGAAAGAACAATCAAAACAGTGGACTGCGAAGGGTGAACCTGCTCCGAAGAAAGCGAAGACGGTTTTATCGGCGGGAAAGGTGATGGCGACTGTTTTGAAAAAGGTAAAACAATAACAGGGACTGTATGCATCATTGCTTGACAAGCTGAAGGCAGAAATTGAGAAAAAATGACCGCATTCGAAAAAGAAGAAAGTGCTGTTTCATCAAGATAACGCACCGTCTCACACTTCGGCGGTCGCTATGGCAAAAATTTACGAATTGCGGTTCGAATTAATTGACTATCCACCGTATTCACCAGATCTGGCTCCCAGCGACTTTTTTTGTTTCCTAGGCTCAAAGTTTGGCTCGGAGAACAGAAATTTTTATCGAACGAGGTCATCGCATCCGTAGACGCCTATTTTGCAAAGCAAGATATTATTCTCATATCTTGCTTTGCAAAATAGGCGATATTACGCTCAGTATTATTTGAATGGATTAAAGGGGTGGGAGCATCGCTGGAAAAAATGTATCGACTTAAAAGGAGACTATGTGGAAAAATAAAATTGAATTTGACCGAAAAATTACTTGTTCTATGTTAGGCTCAAAACTTTTCAGACGACCCTCGTACATATTTTTATTATGATAAAAATTACATTATATTAATAATTATATTAATATATAAAAATTATTAATACATATTTCGGATATTTTTTAAAAACTTATGTATTTGCATACATGCATGCTATTAATAAAATTCAATATGTATAATAAAATAAAATCACAAGAGAGTTTCTATTATAAAGTTTATATTATCTAAAAAGGTTTCAAGAGATTTCAATTAAAATCATAAAAATTGTAATTTTTCGATCTTTTAATTGTATAAATTAAATCTTTAAAAACATATAATTATAACATGCAAACATAATATGAAATAGCCACATTAGCGCAAAATGCGAAGTTAAATAGAAGCCTAGAAGTAAAATCAGTTCTATCGATCACCTCTATTCTTCCAGCAGCATATTGTTCCGTTTCATAAATCCACCAGTACCATCCGTCGGTTTCGATAATTTTTACCTGCATTAACTGCATATGGTATATTCTAGCGTTATTATAGTCGACAAAAATTTGTAGATAGAGAGAAGTACTACAAATTATAATGAAACAATTTTCCAAAAATTTTCTGAGAACACCTTTTAGATCACGTTTTTCCTCCGATTTTATACTCCCATAAAAATAACTGATTTGCACAGTCATTTTGACTTCGAATCACTTCGGCAGCAAATCCGCATGTATGAGCTTGATATATCTACTATATATTGAGGATGTTTATATCACTGATCTATATTAACTGTATACCGTACAAAAAATTAGGCTCATTATATGAGCGTCACCACATTGAAAATTAGGCACTATCACCTCTATGTTAATCAAGGAGCAAAACTACTTATACAATATTATACATATATGTAAATCACTGATAAATTATCATCTATATTGTATTATAAAATAATTTAAATTAGTGTTTTAAATAATTTCTACAGTTTTAAATTGTCGATTCGCTATATTTTTTATAAGTAATGCAAGGCCACTTTACTATTTTTATAATTAACATATATTGTTAGAAACTATTATCTCTGATTTTTTACCGACAGCAGACAAGAAGAGAGTAAGTAATAATGCTTCCTAAGTTCAGAGGTGCTAGTGTCTAATTCTCAATATGGCGCAGATACAATAATACCTTGATCGGTATTCGTAGTTTGTACTTATATACTTAAGATTGCCTTAAATCAGACTTAAGATGTCATCAATCAATCAGAGAGCCATATCAGCATCTTATAATATTACTTAAGACAGTCTTGAAATAAGAATGGACTATGAATATCGGCCCTTGTTACAAAAAGGAAAACTGTATTTAGTCATATTTTATGCTTTACATGCATTTATACATAATAATATATACACTTACCATTTTTACAAAGATTAATGCAATATACATTTAAGAAAAAGTGGAAGATAAAATTTAATATAAAAATAATATAGTATTTAAGAATATGAAGAAAACTGACATCTGTTTGAAATAGACGAAGAACAGCGAAAGTTGAAACTATTTTTTATTTACATCTTTTAAAAAATTTTTATCTTATACCTTAAAAGATCATTTTCTAATTCATCGCATCGGAAGTTAACCCTTTGTAAAAGATGGTTTTGTAAAATGAAATTTTATACCTTATAAAAAAGGTAGAAAGTAGATATACCATACCGTCTAAACTTGCACACGCCATTTTGCAAAGAGACGGAGTAACACAATAAATATTCTTATATTTTTTGTGATCGTCAAATTATTATGCTCAAAAATAAATAAAATAAATTCCAATAAATTAATTTTGCGTTTTTAAATATATACAAAAGACATAATGAGGAAAGAGAAATATAATATAGCTTTAATGTAAACATTAATAATGTCATTGAATTAATCCTGCATATGAAATATCAAATTTCTATAAAATATGCTATTTTGATAATTACAAGAATATTATATCTCACATTAAAAAAAAAAAATTTGATCTTTTAAATTCCATTTTAATTTGCAATTATCTAGAAATTGTTCCAATTGTATATAAAAGATATTTTTGTTTTTTTAATATGAAAACGTATAATCATTTCCTTCTTTTTCTAAATTCTTTTAATAATATTTATCACGTCTATTTAAAGTAAAAAGCTTTGATATAGATAATGTACATACGTATAATTTATAGATACTATATGAGATTAAAATATAAATACATTTTATTAGCAAGATTAATCGCATGTAAATTATTAATAATTGTTATTAAAAAAACTTCTTTTGTAAATTTATAATAAATTGCACATTTGCAATTTTTCTGTCCCAATCGGTGGCGCCGCCTGCAGTTCGCAAGATTGCAGTCTTCCCACCATTTTCTCTGTTGCATCGTATAATATGTTCTTACTATCTATACTTCACTGATAGATAATCAAACACAAGAGATACATACATATGATTTTTCTAGCTGAATATCTTATCAAATATATCTATTTTGTGTACAAAATGATATGTGTTGATCAAAACAAATAATAATAATTTTCATATTAAGAATTACATCCAAATATGTTATTACATTAGAATTATCATATATTTCAATTTTAATTTAATTTTCATGAACTTTAATGAATCGTTCTTATAGAACACTAAATAAAACATATATTAATTACATGCATATATTATATATTTGGTATCTGTTCTTTTTATATCGAATATTAGAACTCAAAGCTATATATTATAGTTGCAAATTTTTAATATAATAAATTTCTATTCATTTATATTCATTTATATTCATTTATATTGGAAATATCTCTTTAATCTAGTTATACGTTTCTTTCGAAACGGAAAAATATTTTTAACAGTAATCTAATCAACAGAAAAAAACAATCTTGAATTGCTGAAACTCACGTTATAATTTTAAATTATTTTATATTTTATTCTGAACGAATATAAGTAATAAACATTTCGGCCTCAATCAGGCTTTCTTCAGTATACATAATAATAAATAAAATAAAAACCGGATAATTGTTTACACGGTTCACAATTTGGACATTACGGTATAAGGGATCCTGGACGCAGGTACGAACAATCTTATAAAATTTTAACAGAGAATTTAAGGATAGATAGTAAATAGACTCTTTATTGCAATAGAATCTGGAAATTTTGTGTTCATTTCTCATATGAATTAAGGATCTATCAAGTTTAATAAAATAATAATTTG